TTACTTCCCCTCCTCCCCCTCCTCTTGCTACTGTCTCTCCACCTCCTCCATTCCACCTCTCCTCCTTTCCACTCCCTCCCCTCTGTCCATCTCCTCCTCCCTGCCCCTCCTTCTCCGCCCCCCCCTCCACAGACTCGGAGGAGGTCAACTTTTGCTCGGTCAAGCAGAGTGACGGCTGCTTCCTGTCCTACCAGATCACGCTCTCCGGGTCAGAGGTCGTCATACTGGTGCAGAAGACAAGAAGTGTGTACGCCTGTCTGTCTCCTTGTTTGTCTGTATGTATGTCTGTTGTCTTGTCTTGTCTGTCCGTTTCCCTCTCTCTCTCTTTCTCTCTCTGTTTATATCTCACTGTCTGTCTGTCTGTTTGTCTGCCTGTCTGTTTATCTCTCTCTCTCTTCCTCTCTAAATACCTGTCTATCTACCTCCCTCTCAACCGCCCTCTCTCTTTCCATACCTATTTTCCTACTTACTTACCTACTTACCTACCTACCTGTCTACTCACCTACCTACCCACCTACCTACCTATCTACCTCTCTCCTACCTACCTACCTATTTACTTACCTACCCATCCACTTACATACCAACCTACCTACAAAACTCTCTTCTTCCATACCTACCTACCCTCCCACCTACCTACCTACCCACTTGCCTACCTACCTACCTACCTACCTACTTATCGACCTACCTCTCTCCCTCTCCTCATACTTGTCTACCTACCTCCTTCTCTATCGCTCTCCCTCTCTCCATACCTACTTTCCTACCTAGCTACCTATCTAGCTACCTAGCTACCTACCTACTCACCTAGCTACCTACTCACCTACCTACCTACTCACCTACCTACCTATTCACCTACCTACCTACTCACCTACCTACCTACCTACCTCTCTCATTCTTACCTACCTACCTACCTACCCACCTACCTACCTACCTACCTACCCACCTACCTATTTACCTACCTGTCTCCCTCCCCAGCTTGCAGTGAGCCCGTTGACATAGTGCCTATCGTGGGCTGGGTGGTTGGCGGGGTACTTCTGGTCGGTATCCTGTCTCTGATATTCTGGAAAGTTCTGACCTCAATGTTTGACCATCTGGAGTACTCCAGGTTCCAGGAAGACCTACAGAAGTGTAGGTGGGCCCAGGTAGGTCATCTGTGTCTGTGGAAGGGGACAGTCTTGTCACTGGCTTGTTGTTGTTGTTGTTGTTGTTGTTGTTGCTGTTGTTGCTGTTGTTGCTGCTGTTGTTGTTGTTGTTGTTGTTGTTGCTGTTGTTGTTGT